GGCGACTTTTTGAAAGGCACTTGAGAAAACACAGCTTGGATGAGACTGAAGCCGATTAAATTGTTTTTGCACAAAATGGCGTAATTTATGCCCCCCAAAAACTATATAAATTGGGTTAAAAATTCGGGAATTTCACAGATCGGAGAAAACATATCTCCTCAGGTCGTCGAGAGCTTTCGCTAGATACCTAAATCGTAAAAATCGGACACAACTACGGTTGTGGTTTTTTGTGAAACCTATAACTTCACCGAACACCTCTTCGTTTACCCACCGGCCACAAATTCAATCAGTTCCCCCTTTCCCATATTTTGCCTAGTTTCTGGTTGCCTACCAAATAACATCGGCACTACCGTAGCCCCCCGTATTGACATTGTTTTCGGCTCCAACTACAGCCGGATTCTGGAATTCTCCTTCCCGGTGGCTGGCTGGATGAAGATTTTATAAGTAAGGTGTCGCGTTGGCCGCCGTGGAGGGCATCAATGGAATGCGGAATCACGCAGAGGGGCCGCCAGGCTTCTTCCGATTGTTTATGGGCATCCGCCATTAGCAGGGGGCCCAGATAAGGCAAAGAAGGGGGCCCATCTAGGGGCCACACATTGCATCAGGTATCCTGAAAGCCGGGGTGTATCTTATATTCTGGGAGCTGGGTGAGGTCGTCCTGGTATTTCCTTGTCCATGGCTGAAAGCGTTTTTACGGCCAACGCCCCATGGGAAAAATGCCCTTCTAGAGATAGACCCCCTGCCAGATAAACTGATTTGCATAAAGATGCGTAAAAGACGATTTTCGATCGCCTGTGCGCCCCTCTCGCTCAACCTGAATTCAGTCGGCCTCCCTTGCCCCTCCTCCCGCGTCTCTCCTCTCCTTTTCTCCTGCTTTGCCCAAAAAGACACACAAATTTGGCTAATCGCGGGGGCTCGCCGGTCGCGTGGTGACGCCTTAGCCGCAAAAACGACACTTCCCTCTGCACTTATTTTTGGACACAATGGACCGTTAGGGCAAAGTGTTGAAAAAGCCCTTGAAAAACACCCGGCTACTTGCTGGCCCTGTTTGGACGTGAAAACGCTTGAATTTAACAATTCTGACACTATTCCTGGGATCTTCATCGAATTTCGATCATTATAGACTTATTAATTATGAAAATTGACCAGAGAATCACGGGGATCGAGAGATTGGGTGCCTTACAAAGCATTACGACATGTAATCGCCGCCCACTCAAAATGTCGTTTTCGCCTTTACAATTTTTCGGTTTTACACAACTTTTCTTCGTTTTTCGAGACAAAATCAATTTTCTGGTGCTTCTCTGCAGTGGCCCTTTCGTTATTTGGCCCCTAGGTTCAAGCCCCGCAAGCACGAATTTTGACTTCCGAGCCCCTTTAAACACTTCATAGCTTGTACCAGCTTGATTAACGTGATTTCACCAGCTACAGCTATATAAATTCTAGAATGACCAGGGTTGAAAAGCCGCTTCGCGACTTTTCAACCCTGGCCCCGTCTGATCGCATGATGCACTTCACTTTGCATAATTCTTTCATTTCCGATGACAAAAAATGAAAACTGCGCTCGCTAGCCAATTATATAGGCTACCGGAACTTCCGGCGCATGCTAATTTTTTCCTAACAAAGAGGATCGACGATTTTCCAACAAAAACTTAAAGTTTAATGTCGAAAATAGACAATTTTGATAAATCTGATCTGCGTGCAGCCATCTCAGGGCCATTACGCACCTAATGACGTATCGTACGTAGCCTAATACCCTTCCCCTCTTGAGATATCCTCCGGACAGAATGACGGAAGTTGCATGCAAAGTGGCACAGACACACACACACACAAACACTATTTTTTTATATATAGTAGGATTTTTCGGCAAATATGGTTTGTTATTTATTATAGTACTCGATTTCTAAAACCATAGCTGTCGACAGCTCCCCCGAATCAGCACTACCGCACCGTCTTTGGCCGTCACTTCTTAAAGGTACACTAAAGTCTCGTTGGTTTGGTTACCGGCCGGTAACCGTCCGCGGGATAGCAAACAGGGTTACGGTAGGCGCCCGCCGCGGAGCAAAACCGAACCCTGGCTGCCTGCCTGGGGCAGCGCCTTGGACCACTAGGCCAAGGGAGAGACGGGAAGGAGGGAAGGGGAGAGGCGATAAGAAGGGGCTGGGTCGGCTGCGGCAGAGAGCCCAAATTTCCTACCGCGACCGAACCTTTTGAACGAGATTTTAGTGTACCTTTAAATGAATGAAATGCCAGTCACCATTTCTCATCCTTCCCATCTATTTTTTCCACATTTCATTGGGCGCCTAATATTTGCGTGGCCATTATCCCTCTGGAGATGGGGTGTATTTTTGGACGGGCCCGATAATACGGTGTGGTTGTGACGCAACGCAGCACCCATTCTTATAGACACGACTCCAGATTTACAGCAGCCTCCGGGAAAAGCTTTGTCTTTGACGTGTTGAGCTGTTCGCACAGAGCTGAGTCAAAGGTTTCTGCGCATCCCGCAAATACCTACGACATTGTTTCGCCGGATTAGCGCACCCTTTGCAGCTCGAAAACATTAATTGTCGTTTTGGACTATATTTCTCTGGCAATTCCATTTGCTAGCAAATCACTTCACTAAGCCATTTCCGTTTCGCCGGCCGTCCCTAGAAAAGCCTCTCATTAATATGCGGCAAAAAGTTGTGAGGAGCAGATGGGGCCGCCGCGTGTGCTCAGAGACTACCCACCCACTGCTGCTCCTCAATGAAATGGCCAGCCCGGCACCTTGCTTTTGGCTGCTGAGCCCCGATTTCGTTTCAGTTTTCAACCGCGATGAGCTTTTCAATTTTTGCGCTCTTGAACTGTCACTGGCGATTGGCTAGCATGCTGTCAAAATTTCATAATGTCGAAAATACAATATTTCGAATTTTTACTGAATATGATTTGGAGTTTTTCCAGGAAATGGAAATTTCGACATTTTTAAAGTAACGGTAAATTACATTAGTTCTTTAAAACACTGCCCTCAACGAACAAACAGAGCAGAAAGCTGGAACATCCCCCCCCTTCCCCGCAGATGCCACTTTACAAATGAGCTCTCCTTGCCTCCTTTTTTTTGCTCCAAGGCGTTGGAGGTGACTCCAGTCAAATTAAAGCTCTTTTTCACACCCTTTTCTGCTGACCCTGAGACTAGGCATTTCCGGGTGCCCCTGGCAAAAGTGAGACGAGCCGGCAGTCTAGTATTAAGCCTTATTTAATTTTTTTGGTCTAGCATCTTCCTTTTATGCGTTGACCCGGGCACGCTAATTACTCTTCCCGCCTACACGAATCTCTCGCCCTGAGTCCAAGTAGCGAGAAAATATCAGATACATCGGTCGCATGTTGCGTGTGGCAAATCGCGGTGTGGGCGAGCCCTTCAAAATATTCTAGCAGCCGCGCTGTCACGGGCGACTTCTTATTAGCCAGGAGAGCCGCATTTTCTCGGAAAGGCCGCACCAGGCAGTACCTGTTTTGTTGATATTGGTTAGAGAAAAAAATTTAAAAATTCATAATTACTGTCGGCTCAGAAATCAGGCCAGAAGTGTATCAGACCCTAAATAACCACAAACCGGATTTGCTGCCACATAGCTACGGTAGTTTTCGAGTTTTAGCAAAATTACTGTTTTTTAGCATACCACATATTTTTAACCAGTTTTTAACAGTAAAACAGTTTTTTCGCACCATCTTGTTGAACTTCTCATCACTTTCCGGCTGTTAATCCCTACGCTTAAGATCAAAATAGTTTAAATAGATATTTTTGGGATTAATATTAATCCCAAAAAAATTCCTTAACGTGAAGAAAGGTTTTCGAATAATATTCACTTAATAGTTATGGATCGTAGCTCATCGGAATCCTATTAAATACGGAAAATAAAGTTTTTCTTTTGCTGTAACTCAAGGTCTAAAAGGTTAAAAGTCAGGATGATTGCTATTTAGAGATTGCCTATACCATATCTGTCCAATTTTAAGACGGATTGGGTCCGGCTGTCTTTTTTGGACGCCTTGTATTTATTGACGGACAATGTCATTCGCCCCCCTCCCCCCTCCCCCCCCCCCCACTCCCACTTCGGGCATAATGACCAATTTCCTGGCTAGACAAGCATCGGATCAGAAGTATCGCGCCACTCCTCGTTCCATCTGATTGTCAAACCATTGTTTATCGAAAATTGGAAACTTTTGGAATGTTTTCGATATTTACCTTCTAAAAGGGATCACCGAATGGAATGACCGATTGATGAAAGGAACCCAGCCTATTCTCGGCACAGATATTCCCGGAGAATCGGCCGTCTTTTCAGTGGCCGCCTGGGAAATCTAGAAGGGGGTGGTGAAAATGGGAGGAGGGGGACATTCGTGGTTCGAAGCCTGCATAGCCTTTTTTTCTCCAAAACCCATTCCTCACGTCACATATCACCGCCGCCAATTAATCATCGTCCTGCCGGCCATCTTCTTCAGGCCACTCTCTCTCTCTCTCTCTCTCTCTCTCTCTCGTCACTAACATATTTTAGTCTTTGACGCTTTTTGTTCTGTGGCCTTGCCGGGAACGCCCTGCGGTCTTTGAAAACTTAATATGTAAATTAAATTTGTGTCCCAAATTAATTTATATCAAGCAGTCGCCCAAAAAACCATAAATTTATTAGTGATTTAGCCACTGCAAACACATGGTTTAAAAGACGCAAAAAGACTCAAATCACCACTTGTCTGCTTCTAAATATTTTTTTGGCCATTCTCCCCCGCTTTTCGATGTTATTTTCGCGTGTTTGTGGGGCAGCGCTCGGCATCACCCTCCCCCTCCTCCAATAAAGCCATCGTAAAATGGGCGCTTCCGCAAATTTTTACGATATTTTTACACGTGCCATAATCGAAGCATATTATTCCTGCAAAAATCCTGGGGGCTGCGCGGAAGAATATCTTCCTCTATCTCTGTGCCACGCGTTTTCCATTGTGACCTAGCAGGTTTTGGAAGGTTTCAGCTTTTTTTTTTGCAGATGTCCGGACGGAATAGCTGCGAAATAGCCGTACAACTCAACGAGTCGCTCGTGTATACGGTTCTCAATCTTGGTGCGTAGCCTTAAATTTAATTAAAGAATTTATGTTTAGTCCATCTAATTACATGCGTGCTGAGCGTGGTATTAGCCTTCAGACTACAGAATGCGTGGCATTCTCGGGTTTACTTCCACGCAAACGTCAAGGTCCGTTATCCTGCGGGTAGAGTGCAGTTTACCCCCCCCGCCAGCCGGCACCCCACTACCGTATCTCGGCTCCCTGTGATGAATAGGCTCCCTACAGGTGTGTAAAGTATACCAAAATATTTGTCTTGCTCTGGCGAGTATTTTGGTCTACTTTTCACACCTGTAGATGAACAGGGAGCCGAGATACGGTAGGCGGGGCCTGCTGGCGGGGGGAGGGTAAACTGCACTTAAGCCATTCTTGATTTATCGAGTTTTATCGATCACATTCCAGATGCTGCTAACAACGATGCTCTGTCTAGCTGTCGTCCATGCCATCACGATGAGCTCTTTTCTGGTAGGTGCCTTCACTTCAGCAATTTTAGCATTTTTGTTTATGTCGATTTTTATGCAATACCATTTTTAGTTCTTAAACCTGTTCTCGTGGCTATTTGCCGACAGCAACTGCGATTCGTTGATGTTTAACGGCACGATGTGTCTATTCCTGCGCCATCCAACTAACGTCTGCATAGCAGGTATCCCGATATACTCTAAAAATGTCGACATTTGCTTAAACAAGTCTCGGAAATCCCCCAAATACTATTCAAATAATACAGGGTGTCCCAAAAAAAGGACCCCTATAGCGGTCCGGCGAAAGGTCGGATCGGCATAATTTTTACACCATTCGAAAGCTCTTCAAAAGGCGAAAAAACAAGCGCTTTTCGTTTTACAACATTTTTTTATCCCGCGCTCGATATTCAACGATTTCTTAAAAAAGAGCAAAATCAGCCTCGCCCTGTTTGCTTTACCAGGCAAATAACGTGCCGATTTTGCATATAATTTGCAGTTTTCATGGCTTTTGGTCCAAAATTTAGTGAATTAAAATGACTATATTGGAAACGAAAAGTGCTTGTTTTCTCACCTTTTCGAGAGCGTTCGATAGATACCCAAAATCGTCACAATCGGACATGACTCCGGCCCGCTAAAGGGGGATCGATTTTTATGGGACACCCTGTAAATTTCGATATTATGGATTTCGACATTGTTGTAATAAAACCGCTTATTCTCGAACCTTTTTATTGCCTTATTGAAGACTGAATCCTAGGGCTTGTCCTGTGCCAACTTTCGATTGCCGTCGAACGAGTGGTGGCCACCTGGATCGGCCCAGAATACAACACCTACTCAAACAAAATTGGTCGCATTTTGTCGGTCTCGACGGTGGGTGAGAAGGCGGAAACGATGAAACAGCCTTCTGCTAAGCTGCAAGCCAAGTTAATTCGCGACTTTTGCAGGTGGTCTGCGCGGTGGTTCTTCTCGGACCATTGCTTGCCTCGGAGACGACGTTCGAAAAGCAGATCAACTGTGGATTCCCATCATACACGGCCCAGACACACAATTGGATGTTGATGCTGGTAGGAAACATTGATTACTGGCAAATAGCCAGATGAGACCTCAATGCGACCGCGCCGCATGGTCTTTTGCCGCTGTTTGGACGTGAAAACGCATGAATTTAAAAATTCTGACACTGTTTCTGCGATCCTCATCAAATTTTGATCCTTCTAGACTTTGAATTATGAAAATTGGTCAGAGAATCAGGAGAGCGAGAGATTGGGTGCGTCACAAGGCATTACGACATGTAATCGCCGCTGATTCCAAATGTCGTTTTCGCCCTAGAACTTTTCGATTTTACTGAAATTTTTTACATTTTTTCGAAACGAGATCACTCGTACTCCTCGGCAGTGACAGTGTCGTTTTTTGACCAGTAGTTTAAATCCCCCAGGCACTAATTTTTACTTCTGAGCCCCTTTAAAGTCAGGTGATTTGACAATCCCGCAACGAACTGGCGTTGAGAAAACTCAAAGAAAATTAAGGCTAAATTAAGCTAAAGAAAAAGATTTACAGGTAAACAGACAACAGGATTTTTTGAAAAAATGGAAAAAGCCGATTCAAGAGGCTCTGGCCTTTACTATGACAGGCCCACCTGCCCAGGGCGCGTTATTATAACGATTAATTCGAGTTTATCGTTCAATTCAGGAACTACTCGGCCTCGACGTGCTTTCCGTTGTCGTATTTCTGGGCGTATATGGGGTCAGCAAGTATATGAAAGAGGGGTAATAATTCTCAGGGCCAGTCACCCAACCTCATTTGTTCAGCGCAATGTTTCAACTCGAGCGGCGCTACCAGATTAACGAGACGCTCTACGTCACCAAACTGTTACTGCCGGTAGGGAGCATTTTGAGAAATACTATGCTATTACAATGTCGAAATGCGTAATGTCAAAATTCGGAATGCCGACATTTCGATTCATAGATTTTTTTTTACATACTATTTGTTTTAGTTGAAAGGCTTATTTTAATTTTTCACAGTCTGGGGATTCACCATTCTGAAATTCCGAAATTATGAAAGTACCGCCATTTTGAAGTCTGTTTGGTCATCTACGGAGATCTTGCAGGTGACATTCGTTCATTTTCTGCTCTTCGCCATCCTGTGTTCGGCCATCGTGCTCATCGAGATGTTTTTCCAGGATCCGTTTACCATCATTTATTATGAAGTCATTTTTTATGTAAGTTTTTTTGGCATTATCCTTGAACCCTACCCCAGACGGCTCCGTTCTATACGGTGCTCTTCCCGCTCATCATCCTCCACGTCATCACAAATCTGGATCGGGATCGAAAGTCAAAGGTTAGTTGCTCAAGCGGGTATGAAAATTGTGGTTTTGGGCACGGACTTCGCAAAAATGCGAGAATTAACCTTCGGCGTGCGATTTAAAATGGGTAAGACTCCAGATACCCCCCCCCCTGCGCCGGCCCCCAACTTTTGTATCTCGGCCGCCTGTTCATCTGCAGGTGTATAAAGTATACCAAAATGTTGTCTTGCTCTGGCGAGTGTCTTGGTATACTTTAAACGCCTGTAGATCAACAGGGAGCCGAGATACGGTAGGTGGGGGTCGGCTGTGGGGGGTATCTGGAGTTCAGCCATCAAATGCCCAGAGTCGTTTTCGAAGCTCCCCCCCCCCAGGTTTCCCGAATTTCAACTCGCTTTCCAGATTACGGTGCTCGTTTCTGAAAACGTCACCGGGCAGCCAGGTACTCGGGCCCATTTCGAGAGTCTCGATCGAATGTGGGGATGCAGCACACCCGTGAAAGGAGGCAGTCCACGACCCACGCCTGTATAGTGCAATATTCGTTAAGTGTGAATCACACGACATTGGCAAGAGACTGCACTATACGCCGTTGCTTTGACGGTTTTCGTCCAAAGTCAATACTTATTAGGATTTATGCTAGGAACCGAGCCAGGTTGCCGCACAAAATTCTATCAAAATCTGAGAATCCCGACATTCGACATTCCCCGAGATTAGATCGGAGAGCTCTAGAAAGTATGGGTAAAGCTTGTTTTTCCGCAGTACCTTTATTCTGGAGGTAGACTACGAAAATGCCCAAATCTGAATTGGATCTAAAATTCGATATTTTAAAAATTCAACATTACGAAAATTTGAGCTCCTTCCTTTCACGACTCTTATCATATTTTCGAGATTCTGATCTTCTCGTTTTTTCCTCATGCTGTGCCGTATTCATGGAGATTACGCTAAATTATGATACCAATTCTCGTCCGATTTTGTAGCCCAGTTCTTTAGCGCTCCCGGTTCAATTGCAATTTTACATCGATTGTCTCGCAGACCATTTTTTCGCGTATTACTATGATGAGCTTAAGCCCAGATCTCGTTACGCATTTAGCTTGCAATTCGACAGTTCAACTTGTTCTTGCCTTCATCTCTTGCCACCCCAGTCGATCTCCCCCTGTTCGCTAAACGGGCCCCCTTTCAGTGTTTCGTGTATTGCTTGAATATGTTTTCCATGGAATTACTCAGAAATGTTTGTTTTGCCAAAGAGATATCTCTCGACCAGCCGATTGTCCTCCGTTGCCGAATTTGATGGGAACTAGTCGTTAATGCGTTTATCACCGGTATCAATAAAGCCATTTTGAGGGGTAGATCGGAGACACAAAAAAAATCAACCTGTACTACAAAGGGTTGCGTGGAAGAATATCTAATAGCGATTTCCGAAGAGCGGTGTAAAACCTATCACTTATCCGAGGGATTCTGATGCCCATTGTGTTCTGATATCGTTGTAGAACAAGCACAGTTTCATAGTCCCTGCTCATTCATTTGGGATTTCGTCATGCGCACGCGTCCAAAGTCGCCCGCGTACACGTCAGAACGCGCCTAAACTTATATTGCCTTGCTTCTGCCTCGGCCCGGCGAAAGCACCTTCATAAATGTGGCTATTGAACGGACGGTGAAATTGTTGAGTGCTTCATTGATCTGTTCTTGCTCTTCCTAAACGATAGTTTTATATTATGTGCCCTAGCGCTTTAAGGGGATGGGAAGTCGCTGGTTTCGGAATCTAACCTAAGCTTCAAAAAATTCTGGAATGATTTTGAGCAGCATAAAAAAGCATGTAGCGGCCAAAAGGGCGAAAAATCCAAGGAAAAACGAAAACTAGCGCGACGGCAAGCGTCGTTCGAAACTCCTAATCGGGGTTTTCAGATAGATTCGATGATTTCTTGATCAATTTCGCGTTTGAATAACCGATTTGGGGTAAAAAGCGCTAAATATACCGAAACCTAGTCAGAAATTCACAATTTCGTCGTTTTCCTTTGAAACCAGGGAAGGGATTTTTTGGGAGATTGAAGGCACGCCGAGTTAGACGCGCCCGCGGACTCTGGCTTCGTTCGAGTTGGCCTCCCAGGTCTATGCCTTCCCGCCCGCCTGAACAAACCGGATTCATCGTTTTGCAGCTCGCCATGGACATTCGGCGACGTCGTAGACCGTCTTGACCACCAATCGGCTGTGCCGGCACCTCCGTATCTTGACGATGCACCTGAAAAAGACAGGGGGTATCTGCGCTTCTCGCCTGGGCGCCCTCTTTCGCCTTTAGACACTTGCCAAAAAGTCTAACCCTCCGAATGGGGGGTAGACCTAATCCGTCCTGATCCCTTTAGTCTACCTGTTCGGCGGCTTTTCTGTTCAGGTATGTTTCTTCAAGGCGATTCTCGAGCACCGTGAAAGTGCCGAAAATCCCGTTTTCCAGCGCCACATATGAGACACGGTTGACGACCTGAAAAGTAGGATTTCGCGGCCTACGATTTTATAGATTTCTGCGTTTTTGCACTGGTTCATCAAGGGGTATCCACCTTAAACACCGGCAACCCGAGGAAATACCAAATCTTCATCAACGGTGATCGCTGTAATGGCGGTAAGGTGGTAGTGTCAAGGCATCTCACCGGGACATTGTTTGGCATATAATCACCGAGCCCAATTGCTGTTAGGGTAATGAAAGAAAAGTAGACAGAGCCCTGGAATTCAAGGATTTTGCATGAGTTTCCATTGGATATCCGCCACCCAGAACGTCATCCCAGAGCCGCTGCTGCCGGCCATTGCATCATAGACCCAAGTAAGGAAAGAACATAGGAGCCAATATACTAAAATTATACATCGAGAGTCGAAGCGTTAATGAAATTCGACAGACAATGAATCCTTGTAGTATGACTAACATAATACTATTAGTGCGGTGATTGAGATGGGCAACACAATGTCCTCGTCGTCATCCAACTCTTCCCCGCGTGCCCGTCTGCAAATCGATCCAATTTTTGATTTTTCGATTCATGCCTAAATCGTGGAAAGCGGATAAGACTACGGGCCGCTAGTAGGTGCCTTTTCTGGGACACTGTGTCTAATTCATAGCAATCACATCATCAATCGCTTCGACTCACTTCCAGCGTATCAAAAATCGAGCATAAACCCTGGTCAATCCAACTAAAAACCATTGACCCAGATCCCTGATGACGACATTCGACAGGGGAATGAATATAATTGAATAGACGACGGTGAGCACCCGTCCCAAATCCGTCACTGGGGCAATCGTTCCTAAAACAAGGCGACTTTCCTGGCTCATCTAACCGCCTACCGTATCCGACAGTCATGAACAGATTCGTGGAATAGAAGACGGCCGACCAAAAATTCCACAGCATCCCGTCGTCACTTTGGCTTTTTTGGAAAGCCGATTGATCCCAGCGACCTTCAGCTTTTAGCAAATGCTGATATGCATCCTGAAAATCGAATTTGTTTCGGGCTTGCTTTTTTTCGTAATAGCGCTTTCAATTGGCCACTCACTTTCAAAAATTGTCTCGCGCCGCCGACCTCAGTGAAAGTCGAGTCATTGGTGGAGGCGCCATTGGCCATCTGGAAATGAATACCTGTATGAGGAATATCAGAATAATGCTCACCTCTACCGCCATAGCTTCCAAAGCGCTTTCTAAGGCGACGACGGCATCCGCAACATTCTGAGATGCGGATTTTTTTAACGGCTGAATTAAGGCTGATCCGGACCGCAGCCGACACCAACCTAATGGATCTCGGATACGTTTTATCATACCCGGCTGAAAAGTGTACTAAAATAGTCCCCAGACGAAGACGAACGTTTTGGTGTACCTTACATCCTTATATGACAAAGGGCACCCGAGATAGAAAAGTTGGGAGTCAGATCGGGGGGCGGGGGTCATATGTAGTTTTATGAAAAACTGTATTGGTTTGATTCTGCTTGTTGCCTGAGCTTGGATCAAACGGTTTGAAACGTTTTTCATTCGGGGGCCAAAGAGTGTTTGTCTAGCTCCGTATTTATACCCGTTTCGTAGCGATCGAGTGTCTTTCGCCTTTCACCAATTCCCGAGTCCCTCCCAGAAAGCTTACTCGGCGTTCGGCAGAGGATTCGGTCATCGAAAACATCCATCCTCCAAGTAGGGAGTAGGTGACGACAAGTCCGAACATGAGCAAATGTCGCAGTCCAATAACACGATGCTGGGCGGCCAGCCAGTAAAATGACGATGTGAACCCTAAAAATTTCGGAATTGTGTTTGATGCGGGCCCTACAAATGCTGGTAGCAGCTTCTTGGATCAAACTTACGATTTTCATTGGCTCCCGGAATCGGTAGTGCCGGTTTTGAGCGGGTGCTTTTTGTCGATTTTAGATCAGCGCCTTCCCTAATAGACGGTGTACACGTAAATTGAAGTATTCATACCTTGATTCCCTTAAAAATTTCTGATAATTGGCCGGGATGCGCGTCATCGTGTCCTGGTTGTTTTTTTGGAAAATCCCGGTCACCGAGTATTGATTATTCTCATAATATCGATCGATAGCGCTAGAAACCGCTCACTAGGTTTGTCGATAATAAAAGGTTTTAACGTATAACATCTAATACAAGTCGAAAAAAGCAATTACAACTCACCATTAATCCGCATGCCCAACCTAATCGCCTTAAACCTACTTTTCATTCTCTTCCTCCTCCCTTTTATTCCTATCCTGGGAGATTTGCTGGCTGATTCGTCTGGATAAAGTCCTATTTCCTGAAATGGTTGATTGCCGACCAAACTATGGGGTACGGTAGGGGGTCTTTGGCGTTGTTGGCACACTGCTGCCATTTTGCTGCTCCGTGGATGGTCGCGCCTACAAACAGAGTGGATTCGCTACCTAACATGCTCGGCTCACGTCTATCGTCCTTCCATGATCTTCGATCGATTCCTCAAAGACCGTCGGCACATCTGGAGCTATCGAAGCGCGACGCTAGGCGTTTCATAAAGACTTTTAAGAAATCCAACTATATATAAAAAAATAGTGTTTGTGTGTGTGTGTGTGTGTGCCACTTTGCATCCGCTTCCGTTTGTCTGTCCGGAGGATATCTCGATAGGGAATGAATTTTAAGGTATGTATGATACGTCATTAGGTGCGTAATGGCCTGGAGATGACTGCACGCATATTAGATTCAACAAAATCACCTATTTTCGACATTAAATTTAAGTTTTTGTGAAAACTTCTTTGTTGGGAATAATTAGCATTAACCGGAAGTGGGGATTCGGCTATATAAAGAGGCAGGAGAGGTTGTTTTCCATTTTTTGTCATCCGAAGGACCATTATGCAAAGTGAAAGATAAAATGGGGTCAGACGGGGCCAGGGTTGAAAAGTCGCGAAGCGACTTTTCAACCCTGGTCTACTGAATAAAAACGCTTGATTTTCTAAAAGTATCGCAACCTCTTTTTAAAACATGGCTGTGAAGGGGGCCCACACTAGTTCGCGACGGGAATTGCCCATTGAAATTGAAGGGCCTGGGAAAAACAAAATCAACACTTAGGTGTCTACGGATTTAACGGTGTTAAGGGATAAATAGTAATAATCTTTGCCAGGACGGACGCAACTCAAATCTGCCCAAAATCCACTGATGTTTCGGACCACACCTTAAAAACACTGCTCGGGGCAAATACGGGCGGAACGTGGCTACCAAAATCAAGCACGTCAACTCACAGGCGATGTAGCCCATAAATGTCATAGTGACTTTGTGCAAGCCACACTAGATTTTGAAACAAGGCAAAGTGAAAATGTACACCTACCTCAATCATAGCTCCAGCCGGCCTAGCCAATGGCTCTTGGGAGCGAGCGGGCGTTACCAAGAAACTATCCACACGGCGGCGACCTTCCATCTGTGTGCTGGCCAGCTCGCACACCGACCGACCGGTGATCACTTCTACGACGCGACAAAAGGAGTCTATCGTCCGTGGGGACAGCCGCTTGCTTGAGTATTGTATACGGGATTGTGTGACGGCATGGCCTTGACTTCGGTCCTTTCCACCCATTTTCTCTTCAATAAACATCATCGCTCCCACACGCCCACACACAACCGCTTATCTATTTTCACCTATTTTCCACTCGACTCCACGCCTATCACCAACGAACCGGTTGCATCCCGGCGGCGGCAGCAATTTCGAGGGATCTGCGGTATTAAAATTGGTGATTCTTGGTGTTAGCAGCCTGGTGTTCTGTCTATTGGCGTGCGGGGGGAGGGAGGGCTGGAAACACACCCCAGTTCTCTGGATCAGGGAGGAAGCCGACCCCAAGTTTGGGGGGGTAGGGAAATTACGGATGTCGGGGAGAGCTGGAGTTTCCTGGGCTAAAAATTTCTCAAAATAACAGCGCCGCAGACCGAAAAATGCAGTCCAATTTCCCCCGCTGGCCTGCCCATTAAATCGGCCGTAAAGTTAGCTGAAGTTGGCTTTGCTTTCCTAAAGGCGTCCGGACGTAGGTTGGCCCAGTGCGGTGTTTGAAGCGCGATAAAAAGTGACGGGAATGAGCGCTTCGTGGTCATCAAGAAGCTTCTCAAACAAGTCAAGATTTTAGATTTTATTTCAGCGAGCTGTCCGTAAGGCATTTGAAAACATTAATGAACTCATCTGCACATAAGCAACTTAAAATCTGCATCTAATAACGGTTACTTCCGGTCATTTTGCTTGCAAAATCCGAAAATCTTACAAAACTTCTTGTAATAGCGCCCTTAAATAAACACATGGTTGGTTATACATACGGATGCAAATTGCCGTCCGAAGGCTTTTTGAATGTCATAACTATGATCCCGATCCGATCCTTAGCCGTATGACTTAGGCCCGGGCCCTAAGCCCAAGCCTTTCCCACAAGTAACCGATCGGTCTGTGCCGTCTCTATCTCTTTAATGGGTCGATAGTCGGCCTGCACAATGATACAATAAGGCTTAGGCTTAGGCTTAGGCTTAGGCTTAGGCTTAGGCTTAGGCTTAGGCTTAGGCTTGGGCTTAGGCTTAGGCTTAGGCTTAGGCTTAGGCTTAGGCTTAGGCTTAGGCTTAGGCTTAGCTTAGGCTTAGGCTTAGGCTTAGGCTTAGGCTTAGGCTTAGGCTTAGGCTTAGGCTTAGGCTTAGCTTAGGCTTAGGCTTAGGCTTAGGCTTAGGCTTAGGCTTAGCTTAGGCTTGGGCTTGGGCTTAGGCTTAGGCTTAGGCTTAGGCTTAGGCTTAGGCTTAGGCTTAGGCTTAGGCCAGGCTTAGGCTTAGGCTTAGCTTAGCTTAGGCTTGTGGCTTAGGCTTAGGCTTAGGCTTAGGCTTAGGCTTAGGCTTAGGCTTAGGCTTAGGCTTAGGCTTGAGGCTTAGGCTTAGGCTTAGGCTTAGGCTTGTAGCTTAGGCTTAGGCTTAGGCTTGGGGCTTAGCTTAGGCTTAGGCTTAGGCTTAGGCTTAGGCTTAGGCTTAGGCTTAGGCTTAGGCTTAGCCTAGGCTTAGGCTTGAGCTTAGGCTTAGGCTTAGGCTTGGGCTTAGGCTTAGGCTTAGGCTTAGGCTTAGGCTTAGGCTTAGGCTTAGGCTTAGGCTTGTAGCTTAGGCTTAGGCTTAGCTTAGGCTTAGCTTAGGCTTAGGCTTAGGCTTAGGCTTAGGCTTAGGCTTAGGCTTAGGCTTAGCTTAGGCTTAGGCTTAGGCTTAGGCTTAGGCTTAGGCTTAGGCTTAGGCTTAGCTTAGGCTTAGGCTTAGGCTTAGGCTTAGGCTTAGGCTTAGGCTTGAGCTTAGGCTTAGGCTTAGGCTTAGCTTAGGCTTAGGCTTAGGCTTAGGCTTAGGCTTAGGCTTAGGCTTAGCCTAGGGCTTAGGCTTAGCTTAGGCTTAGGCTTAGGCTTAGGCTTAGCTTAGGCTTAGGCTTAGGCTTAGGCTTAGGCTTAGGCTTAGGCTTAGGCTTAGGCTTAGGCTTAGGCTTAGGCTTAGGCTTAGGCTTAGGCTTAGGCTTAGGCTTAGGCTTAGGCTTAGCTTAGGCTTAGCTTAGGCTTAGGCTTAGGCTTAGGCTTGGAGCTTAGGCTTAGGCTTAGGCTTAGGCTTAGCTTAGGCTTAGGCTTAGCTTAGGCTTAGGCTTAGGCTTAGGCTTAGGCTTAGGCTTAGGCTTAGGCTTAGGCTTAGGCTTAGGCTTGAGCTTAGGCTTAGGCTTAGGCTTAGGCTTAGGCTTAGGCTTAGGCTTAGGCTTAGGCTTAGGCTTAGGCTTAGGCTTAGGCTTAGGCTTAGGCTTAGGCTTAGGCTTGTAGCTTAGGCTTAGGCTTAGGCTTAGGCTTAGGCTTAGGCTTAGGCTTAGGCTTAGGCTTAGGCTTGAGCTTAGGCTTAGCTTAGGCTTAGGCTTAGGCTTAGGCTTAGGCTTAGGCTTAGGCTTAGGCTTAGGCTTAGGCTTAGGCTTAGCTTAGGCTTAGCTTAGGCTTAGGCTTAGGCTTAGGCTTAGCTTAGGCTTAGGCTTAGGCTTAGGCTTAGGCTTAGGCTTAGGCTTAGGCTTAGGCTTAGGCTTAGGCTTAGGCTTGAGCTTAGCTTAGGCTTGAGCTTAGGCTTAGGCTTAGGCTTAGGCTTAGGCTTAGGCTTAGGCTTAGGCTTAGGCTTAGGCTTAGGCTTAGCTTGGGCTTAGGCTTAGGCTTAGCTTAGGCTTAGGCTTAGGCTTGGCTTAGGCTTAGGCTTAGGCTTAGGCTTAGGCTTAGGCTTAGGCTTAGGCTTAGGCTTAGGCTTAGGCTTAGCTTAGGCTTAGGCTTAGGCTTAGGCTTAGGCTTAGGCTTAGGCTTAGGCTTAGGCTTAGGCTTAGCTTAGGCTTAGGCTTAGGCTTAGGCTTAGGCTTAGGCTTAGGCTTAGGCTTAGGCTTAGGCTTAGGCTTAGGCTTGGGCTTAGGCTTAGGCTTAGCTTAGGCTTAGGCTTAGGCTTAGGCTTAGGCTTAGGCTTAGGCTTAGGCTTAGGCTTGGGCTTAGGCTTAGGCTTAGGCTTAGGCTTAGGCTTAGGCTTAGGCTTAGGCTTAGGCTTAGGCTTAGGCTTAGGCTTAGGCTTAGGCTTAGGCTTAGGCTTAGGCTTAGGCTTAGGCTTGTAGCTTAGGCTTAGGCTTAGGCTTAGGCTTAGGCTTAGGCTTAGGCTTAGGCTTAGGCTTAGCTTAGGCTTAGGCTTAGGCTTAGGCTTAGGCTTAGGCTTAGGCTTAGGCTTAGGCTTAGGCTTAGGCTTAGCTTAGGCTTAGGCTTAGGCTTAGGCTTAGGCTTAGGCTTAGGCTTAGGCTTAGGCTTAGGCTTAGGCTTAGGCTTAGGCTTAGGCTTAGGCTTAGCTTAGGCTTAGGCTTAGCTTAGGCTTAGGCTTAGGCTTAGGCTTAGGCTTAGGCTTAGCTTAGGCTTAGGCTTAGGCTTAGGCTTAGGCTTAGGCTTAGGCTTAGGCTTAGGCTTAGCTTAGGCTTGGGCTTAGGCTTAGGCTTAGGCTTAGGCTTAGGCTTAGGCTTGGGCTTAGGCTTAGGCTTAGGCTTAGGCTTAGGCTTAGCTTAGGCTTAGGCTTAGGCTTAGGCTTAGGCTTAGGCTTAGCTTAGGCTTAGGCTTAGGCTTAGGCTTAGCTTAGGCTTAGGCTTAGGCTTAGGCTTAGGCTTAGGCTTAGGCTTAGGCTTAGGCTTAGGCTTGAGCTTAGGCTTAGGCTTAGGCTTAGGCTTAGGCTTAGGCTTAGCTTAGGCTTAGGCTTAGGCTTAGGCTTAGGCTTAGGCTTAGCTTAGGCTTAGGCTTAGGCTTAGGCTTAGGCTTAGGCTTAGGCTTAGGCTTAGGCTTAGGCTTAGGCTTAGGCTTAGGCTTAGGCTTAGGCTTAGGCTTAGGCTTAGGCTTAGGCTTAGGCTTAGGCTTAGGCTTAGCTTAGCCTAGGCTTAGGCTTAGGCTTAGGCTTAGGCTTAGGCTTAGGCTTAGGCTTAGGCTTAGCTTAGGCTTAGGCTTAGGCTTAGGCTTAGGCTTAGGCTTAGGCTTAGGCTTAGGCTTAGGCTTAGGCTTAGGCTTAGGCTTAGCTTAGGCTTAGGCTTAGGCTTAGGCTTAGGCTTAGGCTTAAGCTTAGGCTTAGGCTTAGGCTTAGGCTTAGGCTTAGGCTTAGGCTTAGCTTAGGCTTAGGCTTAGGCTTAGGCTTAGGCTTAGGCTTAGGCTTAGGCTTAGGCTTAGGCTTAGGCTTAGGCTTAGGCTTAGGCATAGGCTTAGGCTTAGGCTTAGCTTAGGCTTGGGCTTAGGCTTAGGCTTAGGCTTAGGCTTAGGCTTAGGCTTAGGCTTAGCTTAGGCTTAGGCTTAGGCTTAGGCTTAGGCTTAGGCTTAGGCTTAGGCTTAGGCTTAGCTTAGGCTTAGGCTTAGGCTTAGCTTAGGCTCAGGCTTGGAGAGCGGAAGCGGAAGCCCAGGCTTGGAAGCCCAGGCCCAGGCTTGGGCTTGGAAGCCCAGGCTTGGGCTTGGAGCCGGGCTTGGGCTTGGGCTGGAGCTTGGAAGCCTGGGCTTGGGCTTAGGCTGGGCTTGGGCCCAGGCTTGGGCTTCGGGGCTTGGAGAGCTGAGGCTTGGGCTTGGGCCCAGGCGGAGGCTTGGAAGCTTGGAAAGCCCCCCAGGCTTGGGCTTGAGGCCCAGGCTTGGAGAAGCCGGAAGCAGGCTTAGGCTTGGGAGCGGAGCCCAGGCTTAGGCCCAGGCTTGGGCTTGGAGCTTGGGGCTTGGAGGCTTGAGCCCAGGCTTGGGCTTGGGCTTGGAGAGCGGAAGCGGGGCTTGGGCTTGGGCTTGGAGGCTTGGGCTTAGGTAGGCTGGAGGCTTGGGCAGGCTTGGGCTTGGGCTTGGAAGCGGAAGCTGGAAGCAGGACAGGGCTTGGGCTTGGCTTGGAAGCAGGCAGGGCTGGGAAGCCCAGGCAGGTAGGCTTGGAAGCAGGCAGGCCCAGGCTTGGGCAGGCTTGGGCAGGCTTGGGCAGGCTTGGGCTTGGGCTTGGGCTTGGGCTTGGGCTTGGGCAGGCTTGGGCAGGCTTAGGCTTGGGCTTGGGCTTGGGCTTGGGCTTAGCTTAGCTTAGGCTAGGCTAGGCTTAGCT